TATATATATATATATATATTACATATAAAAAATATAACTTTTATATTTATGGAATTTCTTTTATATATATTTGTTTTAAAAAAAGTTTATTGATTTAAAAAATGCGGCCAATTATAATACTATACCAGTAATCCGAAAAAAATTAGATTATGCGCATTATATTTTATATATTTAAATATATTTAATTTTAACTGTTTGTACACTACCTTTACATGTCTGATCTCTGGCAATAAAAGAGACGTTTTCATACTTTGTGTTATATAGAACAATGGCTGCCAAGCTACATAATCTCTGTCTACAGCGAGATTGCTTATCAATTGTATGAATAAGGATCCATTTATTTGATCCTTTGTTACCATATCATACGAATCAAAAATGATTTGACCGCGATTAAGAACGTGTATATTCGTATATTCTTTTGTTTGTAAGTAGTGTGAAATTTTTTCCCAATTTGTGACATCGTAAACAGTATAATAGTATCCTGTCACATTATTTGTTATATTTATTATTAGATTGAATTTATCAAGATGTATCTTAAAATATTTATATTTTATTTTTTCTTAATGTAACAGCCCGGAAAAAAATGTTATATGTATATACAGACATATTTTATATACAGAGTATCTGATAATTAACGAATATAATAATATAACAAAGATAAAACTTGCATAGTGGACTAAACTGAGCCGAAAAGTGTTTTACCAGTTTGCAATTTTCGCAATGATTATAACGAGATATTAATTTATGAAGATAACCAAATTCTTTCAGTTTATATCGCCAAATGCAAGATAAGACCGGGCGTAATAAGACCGCCCAGTAAGATACATGTTCGCCGTCGATAGACACATTAATGCCAATCACTAAGTTTCCATCAAGGATTCAAACCAGATTAGAGTGCAAGAATCGACAACTACAGTCCAGCATTCCCCTTTTATTTGATTGTAAGAGGGGAATACTCGACTGTGATTAGTCAATTCCCAAACTATAATTATATATAGCATTTTTTCCCGAAAGTGAATGTATTGTATATAAATATTATAAAAAAGTATAAAAGTTATGAATTAAAAATTCTCAGACAAGTCCAAAATCGAGAAACAAAATGTTTTAAAGATGTCTTAAAAAGATGTCATTAAGACATTTTTTAAGGATTTTTATTGAAACATTTTATGTTTCATTTTTGGATATGCTTGTTGTCTAGATTATTTTACGTTAATTAATATTTGGGAAAGTTTTGAAGAATTTAATTATTCAAATCTTCAAGCTTTTACAAATAAAAAATACATAAAATTGAATGACGTAGAATTGTAAAACTTTCGTGATTATAGAACAAAATAAAATAAGTAAAAAAATTAAATATTTTTATTCGTTCTTACCAGTGAGTTGCAAATTAACAATAATCCAATCATCTGGGTTGATTATGAAGCTTATATTATGATCTGGTCGTAACCAATAACGAGGTACAGTATTGGAGAAATCTGGATTAGATTGCGTAGCGAAAGTTATAGGAATCCACCATTTAATATTTTCATTCCCAGTCTTATCATATTGCTGTGTTTGTGATATTGTTACTTCGCCAGTTTCATAATTTCGCTCCACATGTACAATAGGGTAACGCTCTTGATTCATCCAAGTATCCATCACTTCGTTTATTCTGTAGTTTTCATGCGGGATACCAGATTCGTCTAGAGCACTTTGCATGGCGCTCCACAAATCATCTGGAGTGGCTGTACTAAATTGACTAAATTTGAAAAATGACTATTATTAATAAAGTCATACATTGTGAAATGTAAAATAAATATTAAATGATGTATGCTAATATTAATATAAAAGTAAATTTATAAATATATATATTTCTACATGTGTATATTTATATAATATATAATATAAACTTGAAATATATAATTTACTTTTTAAATCTCTTAGAGTGAAAGTTAAACCAATCTTTGGAAAAGAGAATATTTTTACCCTTAAAAAAGTGGTAAATTTTAATTTACTCTTCTGGAGATTCTCTCCTAGAAATAAAATTCTACACCAAAAAAAGAGAGTGAGATTTCATTCATTTGGAATAAATCTTATTTTAAATGAAAAAATTTTATTTCAAAAGAACAAAAATTTTCACTCTTTTTTGACGGTGAAAATATTTTCATTTTTTTTTTCCAAAAATTAGCTCAGTTTTCAGTCTTTTGGAGTGAGATTTCACTCTAATAGATTTAAACAGTAAAATTAACTTAAAATTAACTTAAATTATAATTAAATAGACAGTAAAATGTACGGTTTATAATTAAATAGTAATATGATTGACAAT